TTATTATTATTCAGTATAAAGTTCAGATTAAATTTATTATTATTTTTATTATTATAATATTTTTAAATTAAAATTACCTTTTATTATTTATTTTTATTAATTACCATTCTAATTTTTAATTGTTTTTATAGTTTATCTTACTAGATCTAGCACTGCCAAGTGTTTTTACATTAAAAAATTTCTACTTAAATCAAATTTTTTCATTTTATATGGTTAAATCTTTAATTTTTTCTGATAACATTTAAATTAAGCAAGGCAACGTAATTTTGTGATAATGCTTTGTATATTATTTTGAAGGAGAATTAAATAATCACTACTTTAATTGGAAGAGAAAATGTCTTTGAATGAATTCTGATATAATAATTTCATATAAGAAGAATTTAATTTGGATTGGTATAAGAAGATCCTTCAATAAGATATACGTATACTTATGTTTCATTGTTTAAAAATTAAAGATAGTACCATTTGGATTAAGTAAATAATAAAGGTATCACTTGGGTTTTATTTTTTATTTTGACAGTAGAATTTAACTTGATGCCACAGTTGTTAATATCAAATTTTTTTATATAAATGATACATATCATTAATATTCATTATTTACAAATGATACATACAATTAATAATAATTTATATTAATTATAATATTCATTATTTATTTAATTCGGCATGAAGAAATGGGATTTAATTCGGTTGGCACTAATTTTTGATATCAAATTCTTTATAGGAATGATATATATCATTAAAGTTAATATTATTTATTTAATTTGGTATCCGAATTACATGGAATTTAACTTGGCGCCAATTGTTGATATCAAATCTTTTTTACGAATAATACATATCATTAGATTTAAATAAGTAACAAGAGATATCATTTACGTTTTACTTTTTAATTTGATAGAATTTAACTTGATTGGTTAAGATTGTAGCATCTGGATTTTAATTTTTCATTTGATACATTAATTTTTTTCGAAGAGTAATAATTTTTGACAGAAAATTAAAGTTGCCATTATTTGGGTTGGAATAAGAAAATCTTCAATAAGAATATCCTTGGAAATAAATTAAAACTACTATTAATTGGGTTGGATACTTAGTATTATGTACAAAGGATTACTAATTTCTCACTAACTCGATTAAGCTGAATCGGTGATTACTATCAACCATAAGTGGTCAATTCTACTAAACAGCAAACACATGAAACCAGCCCAAATGATTCTTTACGAAAAGCATGCACGCTTTTTTTATCTTTTTTTAAAAAGATAAATTTGTGTAAATAAATATATATTTGCATCTCTTGATTAACTTGCAGTATCGCTGCAAGTTCATCAAAATTTTTTCTTCTTTTGGCCGCGCAGCTTAACTGATTTAACAGTTTAACAGATTGATACCTCGCCACTGGTAATGGCGGCAACTTCAGTCAGAGGACTAAAATGCCGCTTATGCGATCAAAAATAACATCGAGCCACTATCGTCTCCAGATATAATATAATTTACTTATTATTGTAAATGTTTGAAGCCACATTTTGCAAGATCCAAAAATCCAAAAATTTAATTGCCGCCCACGAGAAACACGAAAGATCGGAGAGGAGAGTAAAGAAAAATAGCGACTAGTTTAATATACAGTGTAACTTTTTTAACTAATATGATTGTGAATTATTTTTATTGTAAATTATTATTGTGTGTTATTTCTGAGCTTAATTTTTTTCGTTTCCCATTGAAGTGAGTCATTTGATTATATTATTTGATATTTTTCTTGTTTCACAAGGTTAAATTGTAAAATTGATGCAGTGTAATGAACGCTGTTGAATGAACGCTAATGAATTTTTGCGAATCTGCAAGTGAATTGCTCTCAATGGATGAATTTTGAATTTATAATCGATGATTTGCTGATGAAATGAGCCGAAATGTTAAATAAACTTCGTATCTACAACAGCGTATGACTCTCATTAGCCTCATCTGAATTTTTATTATTTTTTATTATTATTATTATTAATATTGAGAGTCCATATTTATATTTATTTATTTCATTAATTGTGTTTAGTACTTATTATATTAAATAACTTCTTTTGACTTATTTCTTATTTAATGTTTTGAATAAATCATACTAGTTCTTTATCGATCTGAATTTATATTTTAAATTTGATATTATATATATATATAATTACTTTTATCGTTACTTTGCACACGATTGGACACGATACGACACAAGCCACTCACTGTAAAAAAAAAAAATTCGTAAATTAACATATAATAGATGTAAAAATTACATGATTAGTCCTGAAATATAAAAAATCGCCAATTCCACAAAAATTATATCCATTTGTTTTTGTTGTGTAATTATATCTTATTTTATATGGAAAAATACGGTCATATGGTAAATAGCAGGATATTTTGAATATTTTCTGTAATTATTCAAATTTTAGTAATAATACGTAATATAACAGTAATTTTTCGCGTATTGCTGTTAAATGTATAATAATATATACTTCGAAATGTCATATCATTATCGATTCGAAATGTTATCATTCCTCTACACATTGTAATTATACTTCCATAATCTGCTTAGTTACAAATCAAGCAATTATTTTTATTTGCATATTGCAAATTTACAAATGCGTAGACGTTTACAACTATTATAATGGGTATCAAAATTACCCACTATAATAGTTGTAATTTTATATAAAAATTTTTTACAGTGCAGTTTTTATAGCGCTTGAGATTATAAAGAGACTCCCTAGGCCCGTCCACTGTGATTGGTGATCGTCGATTTTAAAAAAATAACGGAAAGTAACGAAAAGTTACTTTCTCAAGTAACTGTAACGCATTATTTTTTAAAATCGATAACTAGTTACTTAGTAACGATTGTTACTTTTTTTCAGTAACGAGTAACTATAACTTGTTATTTTTAAAAAGTAACTTTAAAAAGTTAACTTTCCATTTCCTGTATTTAACACTATAATAGCTATATGTAAAAACTGATGTTTCAAATAAACAAAATCAAAACTATGTTTTGTATTAGAACGTTTATTTAAAATATATATATCATGATATCTAGTAAAATCTGGCTAGTCAATTCAAGGATAATTCCAAAAAATTTCAGGTAACAATTTTGATTTTTGCAGGATTTATCCCTTCAATTAATTTCTATTATTTAATTAATTTTCATCGATTCGCGCAATATTGTATGTTGTGTATAATATAATGTTTTGTATTCAACTTAGGATTCTATACGAATGAATTAAAACGCTAACAAATTTGGAACAATATTACTTATTGCTTTATAAATAATATAAAATAATTTTTCTACTATGTTTTATTTCAGATATTAAAATTCTAAGTTTTTTATTAGTAACTTATTACATCTTTAAAGAAAGATTTATATCCAAATTTATATCAACTTTTCTTTTTTTATTTCCTTTTTTCATACTGATTTTTTTTAGAATAAAAGATAAATTCCAGACCAACCCTGAAATTTCAGAGATTTGCTAAGAATTTTTTAGAATACATAAAATTCCAGTATAATTCCAGGATATTCAATCGGATCAAAAGGATCGCTGAACATCATGTTTATTTCCTATTTTATATTTTAAATAAGTTTTTGAGATCTATTTTCATTTTATACTTTTCATTTTAAATAAGTCATTTCATATAAGTCAGTTTTTACCGATCCCTACGAGTTTAAATTTTAAATAAGTTTCTGGAACCTATTTTATATTTTATATTTTAAATAAGTCGCATCAGTTTACTGAACCCTACTACTGAGAGGTTAACTACGAAAAACTTGAATTTAATCGACAATACGCTTAAATATTTCGCCTTCCTACAATAATGAATCTACCACTTAAAATAAACTCGTAGAAATTAGCAAAGGCTTCTACGCATGATGAGGATTATTAAATACACTCAAATCTTTTGATTTTGCAGTAAACGAGAATGAAATGAATTAAAAATTGCAATTAATTTTAATTATCCAAGTCCACGCTTTAGAGCTCGGAGCTAGATTGAAATATATTGATATCTGAGAGCATATAAATTCATTTCTCTTCATGAACATTTATAATTTTTCCTTTATAAATAAAAAAATTTTTATATTCATTTCGAAACAGAAAATTCCTGTTCAATATTGTGTTTGGATATAAATTCAGAGCTTACATATTTCCGTCATAATTTTTTTTATTTAAACAAAAGTGCGTGTTTTCACAATTTTGAACTGTGTAGTCATTTATAAATTAGCTATGTTGAAATTTTTTTTTTAATTAAGTGAATTCAAACGAAACTGTTCTTATTCATAATTTTGAACTGGGATGTATTCATGGCTAACTTACTTACGACATAAATATTTTTGAACGCAAATGGATAGAAATACGAAATATGCTATTTATCATGTTGAATTTGGATGATTTATGTTCATATTATATTATTTTTTAATTGAAATAAATTAAAAGGCGAAATGTGCTTCATTCATGATGAATTTGGATGATTCATGTCGTATTATATTATTTTTTGATTGAAATGAGAATTAAAATATGAACGAGCTATTCATCATGTTGAAATCAAATGTATTCATAGATTGAAATGGATTTGAAAAATCAGAAGCGCAAATTCGGAAACATCGAAATTAATTCATTTTTATCCGTTTCAATTTATTCTCATTTACGTGGAGGAAGAGGAGAGAGAATTCTACAATAATAAAGGTACCATATACTAAAAAGTAGTTTGTAAAGATTTTACGACGAATTTTATGAAATAAAAAGTAAATGTAAAGTTTTTAACAGCACAAATAATTAAAAATAATATTAAATTTTATCTCCTGTTTTATTTAAAAGTATTGATAATAAATGAAATATATTATATTAAAAAATTAGATTTTTCTCATTTTTTGTTTTTTCTTTATCGTAATAAATATTTTAATAACATTATAGGCACAATTTCTCAATATATTAACATGAAACTACCCAATTAAAAAAAATAAATAGTTCTCATTCTGGTATAACTATTTTTTCACATCAAAATCTTAAAAAACGTTAATTAAGCTGAAGAAATAAAATTTGAATATTTCGAAGATTTTATTTATGGATTTGGCTACATTTAATTAGTATTATGCATTTATAAAATTTCGAAATTGGACTTGGGTAGCCTTCTAAAATTGAGTATATTATTATTATAATATTTTTCACGATAAATTATTTAAATGTTTCTAAAAATACTTATTATATAGCATTAATAATAATAAATATGACATTTTCCACTCATGTATGTTAAATTTTTAATATTTGCTTATCCAAATAATTCTAAAACAACTGCGATTTAAAAAATTAAAAATTTTTTCTTAATGTAAGATTTTCAGAATTAATGGATAGTGAACTTACACATGTATGTTATATTATATTTCTTATCGAAAACGTTGAAAAAGTTATTATTTGGCGGATATTCAGATTTTAACATCTTAAACAAAGATTGAGATTAAAATTGTATTTGCAAACATTTTAAATAATCTCTATTTTATATCTATTTCATTGTCTATTTATCGATTTCTATCTATTTCTATTGATTTAATATCTATTTCATTGTTTGTTATATCGATAAAATTTCGTACAAAGAGAATGATTCGCAAAGAGTATTTATTTATAACTTATTAAATCAAGAGCAAAAACAACCTTCATAAACAAATAATACTGTTTACTTCTCATCGATACATTCTTGCCTTATACAAGATGTTCCCAAATAATCAGTAAATATTTTATGGGCAAGTAGAACAGACTAAACTGAGTTGAAAAGTTCTCTATCATTTTGCAATTTTCGCAATAGTTAACAAGATATTAATTATTAAAAATTGCCAAAAATTGGCTTCAATCATTTTTTACTCAAATATTATCAACTTTATAGAAAAACTGTAAGAGATAAAAATTGTTTATTTTCTTCTCATAGAACTTTAAGAATTTTTTCAAAATTTCTTTCAGAATTGTTTAATATTGTATTTTCTCATATTGAAAAATAAGAAACTGCAATACTAAAAAGTTGATAAAAAATTCTGAAAAAATTCTTGTTCGACAATTTTTAATAGTTAATATCTTGTTAATTATTGCAAAAATTGCAAAATGGTACACGACTTTTCGACTTACTTTATCTGCCCATCAAATATTTGACGATTATTTTGGGATTCTATATATCATGAATCTTTTTATTCTAACGAATAATTTGAAGTCGCATTAAAATATTGCACTAAAAGTGGAAAAATATGTGTTGACATACCATTACAGCATTCATTTTGAAGTCCATCATATTTTTCACCTCCATGGCCATTTCCCGAACAAGGACGAGACCATCTCTTTTTATGACGTTGGCCTCTACTTCGTGATATTTCTAAGCGTAAAGTAAATAAAAATCAGTACATGAGCGGTAAAATTACTAGATTTTTGTATTAAAAAGATAATTTTAAAACAATAAGAATCTTGTTGGATTGTTCATGTGAATACGTAAATAATAGAAAATAGAGCTCATAAGCTGAGGTCGAAGCCTCGAAGCTGGATCTTTAGTGCTTAAATAATTCGTTGTAAATATACTATGTATCAAATTCTACCAAATTGCGCGCCAAAATTGATTTTTGATTTTGTAATACTGTACTAACAGAACTACCATAAATTAAGAGGATCCTAAAGCCATCTGTATTACCGACTAAATCGTAGTTTTTGCATAACAATTATTTTTTTCCTCTTTTACAGATTCGAAAATCCTTTTCTAAGATTAAATTATATGCATTAATATGTATCTGTGAGGTGAAATTTTACTGAAAACAAAAAATTTTTTTTAAGATTTCAATTTTTTTGTTGTTCTTGGCATAAACTCCACCTCACAGACACGTATTAATGTGTATACTTTAATCCTGAAAAAGAATTTTTGAATCTGTAAAAGAAAAAAAAGTAATTGCTTTAGGATCTCTTTAAATTGCTTAGCAAATTTAATAATTTGATGCTCATAGGCATTTTAGAAAATAATTTTTAAAAAATTTTATAAATAGATCTCATTTCTTCTTATGGTATAAATCTTAGTACGATTTACGATTTGCCTCTGTTAATACTCGGTCTACAATCTTGCTTTAAGAACCCTTAAGTTGGCTTAAGTCATAAGTCGAAAAAGATTAAGTGACAATAATTCTTTAAACTTTTTGTAATGGCTTTATACTTTAACTGTTAAACTTAAGTGAATTGAGCAAAACAATTCTTACAGCCTAAAAGCATAAGTTCTATAGCCGATATATCGTCATTTACAACTTACAGCTTATGGCTTACGGCTTCTTAAAGCAGGATTGTGAACTTAGCCTTAATGATTCGGTAAAGTAAATACAAATATATTTACTAATGGTTATAGCTAAATATATATTAATATATTAGGTATATTTTCTTACTCTTTGTATTTCGCTCATTTTGGTTACTTGTTTACCAAACTCCCATAGATCCACGCCGAATTTTAAAGCCCAGTTTTTCACTCTGCAATAATTATGTAAGTACATAGGTATACACGGCAACGACTGAAAAAATATTTGCAATAACAATAAATATAAAATATTAAGTAAAATTTGTCGCGTTAGCTTATAATAATACATAATTATTTTATGTTAGCTCATACAGAAATAATTGGTCACAAATGTAATGTGTTTTTATATTTCAACATTTATTAAAATTATAACACGTGAAGAAATCCTCAGGCATAACAGTTTTGTAAAATTTGGGGGGGGGGGGGGGGGGGGGGGGGGAGGGAGACAGACATGTTAAGTACACTTGTACTTAAGTAACTCTTATATTAATGAGCAATTACACGAGTTGTAACTATTTTCGAAAAATTGTTTTTAATTTCAAAAAGTTTTATATTAAAAAAAAGTCAAACTGCTAAAATCCTTTCTAAGCTTCTTTTTGTTAAATCGAATCCTTTCACATAATATGTATAATATAATAATTTCTGTTTCTCCCTTCTAATCACCTCTTCTTTTCTTTCTCTTTGGAACTTTATATAGTGGAACTTCCACATCTTCTACTACGCAAGATTATAAGAAGTTAGAGAGGTTCTCCCCATTCTTATACTAGAGAAGCATTAAAAAGAAATAGCATGTATTACATACAGAGTGAGAAACACACAGATGCCTACACAACATAACCTATTTTAACTCCAAAAATTTTTATACACATCATGTACATATGTAGACGGAGAATGAAGAAGTTACAACAGAATACTGAAGTTAGGGAAGTTCTACTGTACATCTTTCTCTCAGATTTTTCTGTTTATATTCTTTTATTATTCTGTATGCTTTTTCATTTTTTTTTTAGGTGCCATCCATTATTCCTATCTATACAGAATATCCCGAAATTTGTGAATTAAAATACCATAATAAGAAAGTCTTCGACAAATTAAAAATTGTTGTTCAATAAAAATGTTATTTGTAAATTTTTATTTTAAGCAATAGTTTGTGAAATAACAAGGGTTTAAATATGATCAATTACAGGCTATATGTTTTAGACGGACTGTTTAAACTCTGAGTGCACGCTTAAACTATCACACGCGCGATGGACAAGTATAAATCTGTAATTAGCTGTATTTAAACTCATATCTCAAAAATTACTGTTTGTAATAAAAATGTACGCACAAAGTTTTTTATTTAATTTTTCGAAAACTTTCTCGTATGGTATTTTGATTGGCGAATTTCCCTGTATATTCGCCCTTCTCATATCATTCACACCCTGACGACTTCTCTTCTACCTCTACCTTCTTCACTTTCTCTCTTTCTCACCCTCCTTCCCACTCTCGTGCGTTTCTTTATTTCCCCACCCTACCGCATGCTCGTTCTCGTCCTCTTCCACTCCTTCGCTCTCGCGTTCCTTCTGCTCTCTATCGAGTTTTGCTCGTCGAGCTTTATGCACCCCATCCGTCCAATCGCTCGCACATATACCTCACCACACCACCACCCTTATCACCCGACTCCCTCTTTCCATCCTTTCCAACGCTCCCAGCCAACTTCTTTCAGATTTCTCATGCGTCATCGATATCCAACGATGCACGACATGAGGCAATTTTATACTTAATCACTACGTACATCGAACTCGTGCGATACTTACTCGTTGTGAGGTATGTCCTCCTCTTGTTGACGACTCGAGCCTATCCATAACAGAAACAGTAGCCCGAAACGTAACAGCCTGTCGATGCGCAAGAACATTATTTCAATGGTTCTAGACAATTATTTCTTAAAATCCTTTCTTTCTCCCTCTTCCTCTCACCCTCGCCGCGTTCTCGCGTGGCAAAAGGTCTCTTGTGATAAGTCTCCACGAGAATTTCGCGTGATTGACAATCGATCGTCGAGCCGAAGACCAGGGACGAGTCGATTCGGCACCCGTCGATTTAATGATCCTCGCGCATCGTTCATAGGTCATCACCTTTCTCGGATCTCTTCCACCTCCCGTTTCTTTTGCAAACCGATCTCGAGCACATCTACTGCCACGTCCACTATATCGCCAACTCACCAACCCTCTGTCCGCTACCCGCGCTCGCTTGCGCGCGAGCGCGCGCGCGCACTCGTACGAGTGATGTACAAGGTCACGAAATCGGATCACGCACAGAGACGAGACCACCCCTTCATCCCCGTCGCGTTTGTTACTTTACGGCGACGGTTCGCGTCAGAGCAAATCCGATTGCCAGTTCGATCATTTCAATAGCGGGCGAGAGAAGATAGGCGGCGGTGACGGCGGCGTTCCGGGCTGCGTGTATCGTTCCGGAACGTGCGCTTGAAATGTCACTGCCTTTTCCGGAGCTGAGCGTGACCACATGATCTCACCGCGCAAAGCGAGGATGGCATAATTCTCTTGTATCGCGCCTCCGTCGCTCTTCTTACGCGATTTACTCACACTGTCGGTCCTTGGATTCTCTCGGAATCTCACCGATTGTCCCACGTTGTCGCACAATCTCGCTCTACAAGGATGATTCACGTCGTAAGGCGTAAAGACATGAAAAGAATGAGAAGTAGCGATGAGAATGTAAAGAAAGAAGAAGGTAAAAGTGGATTAAGGAAAAGGAAATAAAATGGAACGAAATAGCACTTAAGGAGTCGAAAAAAAAGCGGAGCTCTTCAATGAGTACTAGAGCAATGCATGCAAAAAGATGAAAAAAGAAACACAAGCGAATAATGAATGGCTGGAACGAGGGAAAGTGAGAGAACGAATCACGCTCTCCCTCGCGACAACACTGCTTTTCCGAGCGGGAAACGGCGTGACGGACTTCTGATCTCGTCGCTTGGTTGGCGTACGATGCGGAAAATCACGCAAGAACAGCGCGGTGGTAGCTTCGCGCCGCTATCTGTGCTGCTGCTTTCTGGTCGCCGTCGCTACCCCTCCGAGACCATGACTCGGCGCGCGCGCATTACCCCTTACTACGTCTACGATCAGTTCGTGATTTTGATAGTACGTTATTTTGAGAGGTGAGGAAGGAAGTGAGTCTTCTCTCTCTACCGCGCTTCCCACGGAGGGGCAGGAGCTAACGAAGGTGGAGCGCTCCATAGCGGCGGCGACCGCGACATCAGCTTCGTTGAAGCTCGTTGGGCTCGTCCTTGGCTCGACCAGGTGGATCGCAGGGCTTGCTCCGCAGAGCTTTGCGCGGGGTGGCAATGGGGCGAGGGAGTGGGGAGTACGTCGCCAGAAAGACGAGTAATAGTAGTAGTGATGATGGTGTTGGCAGCGGTGGTGGATGCGAAGCGCGCGAGAGTAGACGGGGGATAGGGGATAAAAGCAGCGGAAGGTGGAGAAAGCACGGTGCTGTTTCCCGGAGGACGAGGTTAGGGAGTGGGGAGACGCGGTCTCGACCTTACGCCACGTTACGGGGGTGTAACGCAGCGCAAGTCCAGTATCATTGATTTAACATATATCTATATCTTACATAAAGACAGCGAGAGCTATGATGAGAATAGGATAACGTCGCATTACATTTGTCCACAGGACGGCGTTATGCGCGCGAAGGAGAAATCTTTCTCCTCATTAAAGAGACTACATAAAATTATCGACTATATAGAATTATTGAAGATTATGTAATTATTGTGACGATTGTTTAAGAGTTTATGTGACGATTTCTAGAAAATATATATTAAAATGATTTCTGCAAATAAATCACAATTAATATATATGGGACATTTCACGTTAACTGGATTATCTACGTACTCAAAAATCAGCGCAACAAAAATGAACGTTCAAGATTTCAAATTATTCATATATGTACTTTCGAAAGAAACGGACCTTTTGAAAAATCTAATATGGCGGATCCAATATGGCGCCGAGAAGCGATAGAGGCTCCGCACAATAAAAGGAATAGGGAACAGAGAACAGAGAATAAGAATTTCTACCTATCAGAAATTATGTATTGTGGAATACATAAACGAAGTCCCATAAACATCATGGTGCAGTCACAATAGAAGGAATAAGGAATAATGATTCCAACCTATCAGAAACCGTATTTTCCATTGTATCCGATTTCTGATAGGTTGACATTTTTATTCCTTATTTCTTCTATTGTATGCACCTGATTCAACCACTTTCTTGATTAAATTATATTGATCTCAATTGGCTTGAAACCTATTAGAATTCTAGAATTAGAAAGAGATAAGAAATACGTTGAATCTCGGTTAAAAGTTAACCATGAGTTGTAAAACTGGGCCTAAGTATCAAAGTTAAACGCACCTTTGGATTCGCATAGAATCTACGGGAGCTTTTTAACAAGAGAAAATTGACACAAGAGTCAAGTTCTTTGTTCAATAATCAGTAAGAAACAAAGACGGAATGATTCTTGTGTCGATTTGTGCCTCTGCTGGAAAGCTCCATAGATTGTGACTAATGCCCATGTTCATAATGAAACCTTGTACTTAAAGCTTTCTTAAATTTATCTTTAGATGCTCAGTAACTAATGAAATAATTCGTAGAGCATCTGAAAATAAATTTAAGGAAGCTTTAACTATAAGGCCTGACTATGAATATGAAAGCATAAGAGTCTCTTTCACCAACCTCAGTTATCTCTCTGATTAACCGACCATTACATTGGGGCCCGTTCTACTAATGTAGATTAACTCATTTAGGTATAGTTTAAAATTAAACTATATTGATATATATTAGGTGTTGGAATTAATTCGTAGCGTTTTACAAGTGATGGGAAGTACTTTCATTAATGTATTTTTTAATGCTCATGTGAAATAAATAACATTCTTTCATTAAAAAACGCTACGAATTAATTCCAACACCTAATATATAGAAATGAGCCTTAGGTCCAGTTCCACAACTGACGGTTAACTCATAACTGAGGTTCAATTTATTCATTGTCTCTTTCCAATTTTATTTTAATTTATTCATTATCTCTTTCCATTATTTATCTTTTCAATTTTAGAATTGGAAAAAGATGAGAAACAAGTTGAATCTCGGTTAAGAGTTAACCATGAGTTGTGAAACTGGGCCTTAGGCACAATCTAGGGAGCTTTCCAGCAGAGGTACAAATCGACACAAGAGTCATTCCGTCTTTGTTTCTTACTGATTATTGAACAAGGATAGAATGACTTTTGTGTCAATTTATGTCTCTTGCTGGAAAGCTCCCCTAGACTCTGTGCGAATCCAAAGGTGCGTTTACTTAGGCCATTCAACTTATTTATTATTTATAATATGAGATCTAGATTAGCGAATAAAATCATCACAAGTAATCATGTCAATAAGAGCCGACACATGTTGTTGGTGTGTATCTATTCAATATTTATTCAAGTATATATAAAAGATTAATTACGCAAACGTTTAGATCCTTTGTTAGGATCATCTTCAATACTATTCAAATTAACGCTTTCGTCGCGAATGTCAAGAATTAAGAATTAAAACTAGTTACAATTAAAAGTCGCTTTTTTATATTACATATAAAGTTCCTACAGATTATCAATGCATTAAGTTGTAATGCGTTCTTTCGTCCAATATATAGATCCCCATAAAATTGACAGATTAATTAAATAATAAATTAATTACATATATAAGTAAAGTACAGGTTATATTTTAACAAACTTACATGTTAAGCTATGTTAGATTGTCCATTCGATATGTGGATCTCGTGTGAGGATACGATAAACAATCGATGTTTTTCATGCGAAATAATTGTTGTGGAGAGGGAGAAAATCTCATGTTGTAAGTAATATATCTGAGTATGCAAAATCTAACAGATCAGTAATTAATTTGAATAGCATTGAAGATGATCCTAAACAAAGGATCGAAACGTTTGCGTAATTAATCTTTTATATATAATATAATTGAATAAATATATGCACACCAACAGCATGTGTCGGTTCTTATTAGCATGATTACTTGTGATTATTCATTATCTCTTTTCAATTCTAGAATTGGAAAGTTTTTTTGCGAAATTAGTCTTTTCGCTAGCCTTTATGCAAAACTGCGGCTAGTATGATTTAGCCTTTTTCTAATTTCACCAAAAGATTACGTCATGTGCACATAGATGTATATTTTATAAATCTCTATACTATTGAATTCTAAATTTCATAAAAAATTAGATGTAAAAGACAGAATTTGTACATTTATTTATATTTGAATTCATTTAATTTTTATAACACAGAAATCATATGTAAATATCTTATTAATTTATTTCAATTTTAAAAGAGTGAAAATTTAATTTTATTTTTACAAATATTTCTTACACATATACGTATTCTATCTCTTTTTTGTGTTTGCAGCTATATATTGATTTCTTTTTTTCCCTTGATAAAAGTTTGTTTATTCTATTATTTTTCTTTATTCTAGCACTACTTGAATGCACATGGTGCAATAAGTTGAAATGAAACAAATATATGTTTCGCTTCAATTTATTACACCTTATACACCAGTTAAAACATTGCAGAAATAAAGAACAGACTTTATGTTTTAAGGTTCCTGAGTAATCACTACAGCCATATCGAATCGTGATGCGAGAAGCGAGAAATGACGCGTTAATTTTTGTTACTGACGTCAAAATCCAATATGACTATGGTGACTACTCAGGAGTCTTAATAATGAAAAAATCTATTATGCACGTTACATTAATAAGTTTTCACAAGATACATTTTTTCATGTCTAACTTAGTGGCGTAATATAGAATACAAGTCCATTATGTGCAATAATTTATACTCGCGCTAATTATACTCATTATTTTTATCTAACCTTTTCGTTAATATGCAAAAAAGAAATATTCAAAAAGATGAAAAAATCAATGTGATGGAAACAGTAGTATATACATTATAATGAGCGCACATACAAGTTACTTTTCATATACCTGTATAACTGTGCTAATCTTAGAAAATATTTGACTTGTCTATGTTATTTCAAACGCAACAATATAAATTATATAAGGAAGAACCACGATATGATAGAAATATTTCTCTGCAAAATACAGAATGTTTCCACTCAACCGCGATCGATTATACTTGATTACGTATTACATATCTTCATACTGTTAGTTATTCTTAAATCACGAGACAATTTTGAATCGATAAAAAATGTAAGAAAGACTTAAATAGTATCACATATTGATGTATATTTTTACTAAGTATTTATAATTCCATCTTTATCTACTGTGTATGAATCACGCAATTTATTAGTGCACCTGCTGTGTTTGTATATACTGTATCAGGATTACTGAAAGGTTCTTCAAAAAATTTTATGCTTACTTTCCGTGTGAAATTACAGCTTACAGGCATGTGTAGAAAAAATAGGTCCGTTAATAAAAGAATTTTACGCAACTATGTGACCGATAAATTAACTTATATATTATTTCGCATTATGGCATCACTTCTGTTACACGCATATTAACGATGGGTCGCAGTTCCTGTTGTGCATAATCTTCCGGTAATGGTAACTGAGATATCAGACGGACCAATAACTTCGTGACAGATCTCTGCTCATTTTTCTGTAGCAATAGCATATTTCTAGCTAAATGTAAAATCCTTTTTGCAATTTCAGCTTGGCATAATCTAGAAATACGGAAAAAATTCCTTTCACAATTTCCTCGAACACAACAGTATAAAGAAGTAACAACTTGCAATAGTGTGTATTTGCCATACTTATGTTTAGCAGTTAAACACGGGAATTGATCAATTTTATGACATAAGTTCGTTAATCGAGGCTTCAGTGTTTCCAATTGATAAGTTAGTCCACAATAATCAGGAGCGGACTTTAACAGACTCTGAATCTCGCTAGTTATTTCCATATATTCCCACAAGAGCTGTCCTTGATATGACCATCCACTAATCGTGCCGCTACATTCAATTGGTACTAGTGAACTTAATAATGATTTCAA